ACGGAACCCGACAGAGCCGGAAGGAGCCATACGGAGCCCGACGGAGCCCGACCAGGCTCAAAAGGGAAAGGAAAAGGCGAAAGGATGAGCCCGACGAAGCCTGACAGAGCCCGACCAGAGGAGGGAGGAGGACAAGGAAAGGAGGAGGGAGGATGACAAGGGGAGAGGAGGAGCCCGACGGAGCCCAATCGAGCCCGCAAGAGCCCCACGAGAGCCTCGCGAGAACCCCTGGGGGAGCCCGGCGAGAGCCCTACGTGGGCCCCACGAGACCCGATCGAACCCCGAGGAACGCACGGCGAAATCCTTGCGGGGAACCCCATGAGAGCCCCGCAGAAACCCCGCGAGAGCCCGGCAAGCGAGCCCCACGAGACCCGTGGGAGCCCAACGAAGCCCCACGAAAACCCCGCGAGGCAATGCCGGTCCCAAAGACAGTGCTCGAGAGAGGCAGGCCACGTACTTTGACGGTCGAGTAATCGTGGCCACATGTTGGATGCGTTTGTGCATCGCTCTCGTTCTTCACTGGCCCATGCACGTGTTTTTGTTTACCCGCCCATGCATGCATATTGCCATATGCTGGCCGATGCTCATCAATGTCTTGTTCTATACCGGTTAATGCTCACGTGGTCGCGCACTGGCCCATCCCATGCGTATCTTGCGCACGTCTGTGGCGAAGGTCCCATTTGCAGCTTAACTGTTATACATGTTGAAGCACCCGCAAGTTCCTTAATCGGCAATGCAATTTGGGCCGATGGGTCGATGGGCCGTCGGCAGTCGTCTGCAGAAAGCACCCCCTGTCAGCGCGCGCAGGGATGCCGAGGGCGACTGACATGGCTGAGAAACACTCGCCCGACTCACTATGTGAGCCTCCCGGGCGCGACACTGGGAGGAAGCCTCCGAGTGCCTGCAGGGCGGTGTATGGCAATTTGTGAGCGTTTGACAGTAATGGCCACCTGTGAGTGTTTTGCACAGTCGGGAAGGCGTTGGCGGGTCACTTCCAAACCACGTCAAAATAATGACCACACGTTTAAGACGACTCCGCCGCTATCATGCAACGCGCATGCCGTTGGTCATGCACCGGGCCCCGCCCCGCGCAATCGCCATGGCCACGAACCATTCTGGCGAGATGCGCAACCATGGGCATACGCGCGCCCGCGATTCAGCCACCCCCCTCGAGAAGGAGGGGGCAAAACCATAGCGCCCGAATCCAACAAAAACGGCAATGAGCAATGAGTGCGGAGCGCGAGTCCAGCGCGCGCCGCAAAAACGAAACAAGAAAAAACAGCACTAGTGGAAAACAAAAAACGCCACAAAAACGAAACAAGAAAAAAACAACAAAAAGAGCATGAGAAAAACACCACTAGTGGATCCTAGCCTCGGGGAGAGCTGACACCTAGCCTGTACACATGCACAGCCAAAGGAGCGAACCCCAAAAACATGTTACCGCTCAGCTGTGGTTGCCAAGAGGCAGAAGACCGAAACAACCCGACGAACCCCGCCAGAGCTAATATCGAATGTCAGGCCAGATCACAAAGTTCTTGCACACCTGGTGCACCCACATGTCGTTGGACGTGAGACCACTGTCGACGAAGTCGTCCTGGTCCGTCTGGTACACGCTCATCTGCGTCAATATTCGCTCCAGCTTCGAGAATCATTCCAATCGTCACTGGCGCGCCAAATCCATCGACGCTGGTCTCGTTGGCGACTACTGTATATCTCTCTTCCTCTGCTGGTACTCCACCTGTCTGACTTGTCCTTGCCCTTGCCTTTGTCAGCCGGCCTCGTCTTCGGCGTGGGTGGTGGCGGTGGCTCTGGCAGGGTACGATCACGATTGAATTTGTAATTGTAGTCATCCACGCTGAACCAATGCCAAGTCCTAGCGCTCTTAGCGATGTGCCCGCGACGAGTCACGTGAACGAAATATGCCTGAATGTCTCCGTTGTCGTTCATGTCGGAGTAGTCCTGCATCGTGTCCCAGCCGCCATCGCTCACGCGGCCGCCTACTTCGGCAACGGATTCATCGGCCAACGTACGGGACCGATCTCGATCATGTCACCCAGCGTTATCCGTCAGCGACCCCCGATCACTTTCGGGGTTGCTGCCCGACGCGGCTAGGCCGGTGGGCACGGGATCGTATAGGGCAGGCCTAGAAGCTTGCCTCTCGTTCCAACCAGCCCTCGGTCTCGATGGTGCTTGAGCACTACCGCTTGGCAACAAGACCCCTGAAACCACGTAGTTCTCAGTCCTCGGGACGACCACGCATGGGCCATTGGTGTTCGGTAGATTCATGTACACGGGCTTCATGGAGAGCACGACAGAAAGAACACAACATGTCAAAGGAACAAATGTACGTTGACGGTCGGTTCCAACAAAAGCTTAGCTGTGGAGCTTCAAATGCGTTTTTCTAAATTGGTAGTGCAGTTGCTGACCAAGGCATTGTTTTTCTTTGCACAATGGTGGGCCCACGGGGCGTTAGATACGGCATTGCTCAAGGATCCACATCTATCGACTTTGGCACCTGACTCTTTAGCACGCACGACGGACCATGCACAAAGACGATCATGCACCGTGCTTGTATTGGCTTGCGGTAAACGTTGAACAGGCGCATGTACCAGTTCAGCCCGTAGTCGACAACTTGAGCTGTCCAATCCACTGCTGACAAAGATCACCTCGTCTTTCGTGAGAGCTGGCTGGGATGTGCACGTTTTCCCCCGCTTGGCCATGCGCTCTGCCAGTTCGGGAAGCGAGTCTTCTGAACCCACATTGAAGCATCATCGTAACTGAACGTGGAGAAAACTGGACTCGAACATGCTGGTTCATCTCCAGTCGCCCCTGTTATGAATCGGGCCAGTCCATCCGCCTGCGCCCTCTGGTGGCTGACGCAAGCTCGGTTTCAAAAAATGGCTCTGCCCCCGCCGTGCCTTGTTGAACTCAACCCCTTCGCCATCGAGCAGGATAGATATCTGATGCCCGCTGTGCAGTGAGTGTACCATCCCAAATACTGTCTGGACAACGCTCTTGGCAGATGCAGGCCCCAATGAGTTCGCCATCGCAACGTTGCCTCGACGCTCGTCTCGAAGTTGCTGTCTCCTCCGGCCTGACGATATCCCCTCACGGACGCGATCGCCCCCCCTGGACCCACGAGCTGGCCCGCGGCCCACTGCGCGCCCACGAGCGCCCCCGCGCCTTGGGTCGTCCACTGGGCCCTCTGGGGCCTCAGGGGCTGGTGCCTCCTCGGGGGCTGGGGGCCTCCTCGGGGCCCTCGTCCTCGCTGGCCTGCAGGTCCGAAAGGCCATCAAACATGTGACGTGTGGATCCTCGAAGACCTGGAGAAACCCAAAACACCACACGTGCTATGCAAGTCTGGATCGAAACAGGTATGTGGGATGTCCGAGAGGCCACTATACTGACGATATATCTTCGCTGGGAGAACGCATGATGAAACATACATCGGCGAGGGTGCAAGATGGGATGCATGATAAATTTCTGGGACATGTGATTTACGATTCTTTTTGGGGGACCTTCGACGCGCGCATGTCCGATCAACCCCGCTCAAAGACACCTCAAAGCTTGCTCAAATTATCACCTGTAACAGTGTCTTAGCAACTCCGACCTCTTATCACGCATCCCGTCACCCTCGAGGGCCGAAAACATAGCGCGCCATCATCCTGTATGGTACTTGCATCGCACACGCACGGTATATTGTCATAGCAGAGCATAAAACAACCTTGGTATCACATTATCACATGGTGACTTTGTATGGTTTGCAGGACATATCATATCATATCATATACTCGCCAGACATGTGATTGTAAAGCACAACATGTTACACCATACCATTGCAGCATAGCGGCATGCAGGATAGCGAGGCACATGATAGCAACGACTTGCACGGCATAGCATGGTGCAGCGCCGGGTAGCTGTGCGTATAACCACAAATAAGAGCGTACTATAGGAGTGGCTAAACACTCCTGCATCGTGCGGCATACCATAGCATTGCGTGACAGCGCATGGTATGCCACTGAACTGCACGACGTCGCAATGCACAACGTCATATTCAAATACTTATTGCATTGGGTTGAAGTTCAAGGCTTAGCAGCTTAGCATGGCCTGGTAACACATGGCATGGCATAGCGTTGAAGGGTATCGCATCATGCAGCATGGCATAGCGCAGTGCAGATCGTGGCACGCTGATTTGCGAAACGAACCAACACAGGTGGCATAAAAAGAAAGCACAGCGAACCAATGTAAAGCAGTCGCAGGCAAGGAACTCACGTCGCAGGCAAGAAACGTCCCACTAGGGAACGCATACACACATCACGCACTCACACATACAACTAAACAAACGCGAGCATTACATCACAAACATTAAAACATTCGCATGCGTCTGCATGAGAACCATCAGCGACCGCGCCAAGTACCTTGCCTTACTTATCTACCTCCGCGGGATTAACCACCTGCAACTGTAGCCCATGGATGGGGAGACGTAAGACTCGGGTACGGGTGCTCGGGTTGGCCTGACGGGGCCATGATAAAAATGACGAGGCCCAGTCTGAAAGTTGACGCGAGCTCCCGCTGCAAACATCACACTAAAAATGGACCGTCAAAATCCAGGACGCGATCGAGTTCTGGCTTACTCGAGTCTTAGGTTTCCCCGAAATGGGTGGTGGGTGCTATTTGCTCTACTGGCCGGGCTGCTCCTCGACAAGCTGTTTAAAAAGCAAGCATGCCCCAGCCCCCGCTGCCTCCGATCCATCTACTGGCCGTTTCGGCTCGAGCTTTGCTGGCTTATGTTACCCTGCCCCTTGCGCGATGGAAGCACGCTGAACGAGCTCTGTTTCTGAGACACTGCGAGAACTGGACTAGCAGCAGCCAGTCAAGCTGCGACTGCCGTCCACAACGAGCCTTCGCTCGCTCCTCTTCCTTGACGATCAGAACGCCCTCTGAAACTCCTGGTGCCACTGTCGCGATCCACCCTGCCCTCGACTACCTGCACTGCACTCTTGGCGCCGAGTCCTTCCAGTTGTTCCAGCCGCCAGACCAACCGCTGCCGCCCCGGGAATCGTCGGGCTCCTCGTCCCGGTACTGGCCCTGTCTCGGGAGGGCTGAGACCCAGAGGGGCGCGGACAGGCCTACGAGAGGCCTGGGTCGGAACGCGGGCGGCTGCGAAAAGAGCGAACGAACCCGACTCATCTCAAGTGTCCATACACATCCTTTCCTCCCTCCCGTGCAACTTGCAACATGATGGCCGCTGTTGCCCTGGTTCTGGCACGAACCGTACCGCGCTAACCGGTCATGCTGACCGCACGGTACTGGCAGTGTCAGTGTACTGTACTGCACCAGCAGCGGCAACCGTACCATACCGGGCATCACTCGTAGCAAATGGCGATGTTGATTGTGACGGTGCCGATGGCGATATTGACGGCAAGGGCGATGATGATGACTGCACGTAGCCCGCGACACGCTGGAGAGCAGGCCCCTTTGGCGTCCCGTGCCTTCCAGGATATGAAGGTCGCCGCGGGTCAGCCAGCCATCCACCCCCTCGGGCCTAATTACCAGGGCCAGGGGGAACCCTTCCCTGCTTCCTCCTCCTCCCTCCTCCTTCCTCCTCCTCCTCCACCTCCGCCCTCCGTCTTCATCGTCAAGAATACGGACGGGAGGAGGGAAGAAGGACCGCCGCCGGAGCAAGACAACCATACCTGTACCGCGTGGACCTACTACCGTACCAACGGCTGGTACCACTGGTCGTAACTGGACCAAATGATCTGTACCTGCACCGCACTCTCCTACTGTATCATATCGGCTCGCTCCGTGACCATGCTAGTGGATCTGTAGCATCCCCGTGCCAGTTCTGGCGCAGGCACACAAAAAACTCCTCGATGTCGAAAATTCTGGAGTCTTCCGAGTCACATCCCGTGTGCTGTGGAACGCGGTCAGGCAAGTGGTGCAGCCTAGCTGTTGCCTGCAATCATCGTGCTACCATGAAAAGTCCTGTGTACGGAACGATTGGGGCTGTTCTGGTCACGGCGAGCCTTAGCCGCGAATAGGCCACCAGCCTAAATTGAAGGAACGGCCCGAATACCATTGCTTCACCGTCTTGACTGTACCTGACGTCGTTCGTCCTTGTTCGAACATGCTCCGTCCACTAGGCCACTGGAGGAGGATGTGTCAAGCGCCGGATGGGAGCAAAGGCAGGAATATCGTGCGGGGTGCGTTCAGTTCGGGGTGGCCACGCTCTACCACGCGCCCAGCCAGCAGGATGGCTCCCTCACAGGCTGCCTGCTGATGGTCGCCCAGGTCCAGCTCGTTGCTTGCTGAGGCCCTTTGACCTTTCAGAACCCTGGGATTAAACTGGAATGGGATCCAGAGCTCGTATCCTGTCCCATCCTGCTCCAACCCGCCCTGACATCCCCCGTATCACCATGCTCCCCACAATCGTCATTCCTCTCCTCTCCAGCTCCTGCTTGTGCCCCTCTTCCTGAATCTCCTCCTGCTCAAAACCTACCCCAGACCAGGGCGACGAGATCTATGCATATCCACCTCCCTTGGCCAGGCCCATCCTGGGCGCAAGAGTGGTGTACGTGTCCCTTTGGCTTGGCGGGGGAGCCATACATACCGCTCCTCCTGGGTCCAGGATTCGCCTGGCCGGGGGCGGTGCATGTGTATAGACCTCGTCGCCCGACCACACCGCCTCCGCACCGCAGCAACAATCACGACGACCCCTTCCTCCTGTGCTCCTCTGCGGTACCAGCGGCGGCCGCCGCAGCTGCGGTGGCAGAGGGGCCGAAGCGGAGGCGGCGGCACCCACTCCCAGCGGGCATTCCAGTCCCCGTAGTCCTGCCCGGCGGGGGCACGCAGGGAGCCCGCCCGCATGCGATGCTGGGCCCACTCAGCATGCCACCCAGAGCGTGGGCACGAGCACTAAGCAAGGGCCGTGCCACGCCCGCTGCCCTGGAACCCCCTCCCTCCTCTGCGCTCCCAGAAGCGAGTGACCGGCTCTACTGCTCCCGTGCTTGCCGAGACCACGAGCCTGCGTGAGTCAGGGTGAAGCTGAGACGTGCTCCGAATCTTTTGGTCGCCCCCTCTCGCCACCCCATGGACAGCCCGTTCCGGCCACCCCAGGCGACTTTATCTTGGCCCAATGGGGGGGCCGTCCTGCTGCCAGACGTCCCCGACCTCGAACACACAAAACGAAAGCGCCGCGCGAGACTCTCGCCAACAGCTGCCCCGACCGACAACTCGAAGCCAGATCGAGCAGAGGCGTTGAATGGGAGCCAGACAAGCGCAGAAAAGCATGCGCATGAGAGAAGCTCGCACTCAAAGTGCGAACGAACAACGCTCTCTCGTCCGGGGGGGCAAACGCTGCAGCACTGGCGGGGAATGAAAGAACGATACTGCGGTCCGGAATGTTGCGGCTTCGTGCCAGCAGAACTTGGGCGGGATTGGCAGTGCCTACACCTTCCGCAGCACAACCCCGGATCGTGCTGTACTCAAGATAGATCTGGGTCGAGAATCGTACAGAGTGATATCCTCAACAAGACGCGCAAATAAATCCAGAGGCGGGGAGGCAGCAGGCATTGACATCATCAGTAGTAGTCTCTGATCTCATCAGCATGATCCACTGACCAATTATATGTTCTGCAGTGGCTGTAACGCCTGCGGTGAGCTGGCGGTCTACTGGCACAGCTAGGAGATCCGAGTGCGGCCTCGAGTCCTTCCACTGGTCGGAAACGAATTGACGAAAATGACAGGTCGCAAGATGATTACGCATTGATTGAACCACCTCGTAGGCATTTGTGCTAAAGTGCGCTGCGCTGCAGAAACCGATTGAATCATCCAATCCTCCAGCTGACGAATGATGCTATCCATCTCTTCGTCCATCTGCTTGATGACAGGGTAATACATGAGATGCGTCTCGAACCTTCTGTGGGGACAGCATCCGTATCTTCCTGGTCATCCTCTGCTCGTTGACTCTCAGCTCAATGGGGCATCTTCCCGCTGTAATAGCAACCCTGCAACATTATGTCCCGCCCTCCCGATCGAAAGCAATGGCCCCACATAAAGCTGCTGAAGCCATAGCTGCACAGGGAATGAGCCAACAACACATGCACATACAAATGCAGACTGGATCAAGATTGGGCGTGAGACACCTACCCGTTGGCCACAGCCTCGCCGGCTCGAACGCCCGCGTCTCTGCATATATTGCCTCTCCCCCCTCAATTTCACGATGCGAAAAGCTCACCAATCAAAACCACAAGTCTGGTCTGAATGTAGGTCTGGCTCAGGAGATCTTGAGAGACTCAATAAAATCGTGACGCAGACGGCCAGGGAACAAAGATACACTGAACGCAACAAAACGTATAAGCAGACGGCCGCGAACACCCTGGATTAATCGCAGAATTGAAAAGGCAACATAATACCGATACCACTACTCTCCAGACCTCTCCCGGGGTGTCTTCTAACCAGAATGTCGACGGAAATCCAGCGGTGGCGACGAAGGCTCTGCAGAACGACCAACAATACCCACATCTATTCCTCCTGTGAGTCATCTGCCACCGTGCCGTGAGGCACGAGTTTGAGTGTCCTCAGGTCCCTTCGCGTTCTCCGCACTGAGTGTTGCAAATATTCTTCAATGGGCCTAAGCCTCAATTCCCAAATCACTTGGGCGCTCCTGGGGTCTCGGGGTCTCTCGCGAGTGTTCCAGAGGCTACAAGGCGCCACGATGGACCAAGAGAGCCCCACGAGACCTCCAAGACGGTCCAAAATGGCCCCGAGTCGCCCAAAGAACGCTCCAAGACGCCCCACAGACTGCCCAAGAGACCCCAAAGACGCCTGGAGAGGGCTCCAAGAGGGCCCCCAAGAGGGCCCAAAAATGCCAACATCACTGGATCGATTTAGGTTTTGCAATCTTTTAATGTTTCCGCCTTTTTGGGGTGTCGATGCTCCAAGACGGCCCAAGAGGCCATCGCCAGAAAACGGTCCACGAGGCCCCGAAGAACGGCCCCAGACGGGCCAAGATGGCCCCGAGACGGCCCAAGAGGCCCCCATGACGGCCAAACAGTGCCCCGAGAGGGCCCCAAGAGAGGCCCCAGAGAGTCAACACGAACCAACATTTCGAGCCCTTCGTCCCAAGATGGCCCCCGAGACCGCAAGCCCACCAGCTCCAGGGGGCCCCCATGAGGCCCAAAGTAGGCCCCAAGAGACCCCAAGGAGCCCAGGAGACCCTGAGAGGCCCCCAAGACACCCCAAAACCAATCCAAGAGGCTTCCGAGAGGCCTCCCAAGAGATCTCCACAGACATCCCATGTTTGGTCTCTCACTTAGCGGAGAATGCGTCTCGAGTCTCACTGGCAGCGTCTTCGCGCAGCGGACGCCTATCGCCCCAGGTGAAACGAGTGACCGATACACAAAAAAAAAAGAAATATCAAAAAGGGGTTGGGGGGGAGGGCCGGTTGATCTGTGGAGCCAAAGGCTATGGGCATAGACCAAAGAGCGGCAAAGCGTGATCAACAAACATTTCTGCGCACGCACTCCCATGTTTAGTCTCTCACTTAGCGGAGAATGCGTCTCGAGTCTCACTGGCAGCGTCTTCGCGCAGCGGACACCTATCGCCCCAAACCATCCCAAACCAGATGTTCACAGATCCCAAGAGGGGATCCTAAAAGCGAGCGAGAGACGGCGTCTATGGGAGCCAGGGGCAGAAGCAAGGCCCTCTCAACAACCTAGCAGCTTTGACCTGCAGGGGGCTGAGAGGGTGAAAGCAAGATCCCGCGCCAGCGTGCGTGGGCACTCGGCGGCAAGTGCTGTCCAGTGAATGCCCTCGTTTGGCTTACCCGAGAGATGCCAATGCGCTTTTCCTGTTCTAGAACAGTGGCCTCTGTGGGCCCTACACTGCTTGCACAGGCGCCCACAATCATCGACACAAATATTTCCTACGAAGAACTTTGTTTGCTTACGCCATCGAGTGCCGTACTGGCACTGATCGCATACCTTGTCGTGGCACCAGCCTAGTCGCAAAAACTCTTGGAGGACGGGAGTCTTGAAGGCATACGAACTACCAGGATTCTATCAAATCCAAGGTACCCGATGGGACACACGCGCCCTGATGAGCTGCACAGTTGCTTTCAACAAAGCGCTACCGTGGTCCACACGGGCTTGCAAGTGGGGCTCTGAATCGGGAAGCCCCATCGGGAAACTGTCTGACCGAAGTCGCCCTGCTTGGGCTATTGAAAAAGACGTGCACGGCAAGGCCATCATGGCTCCCGCGATTTTTCCCGCTCTCACGTCGGACAAAAGTTTAACTAAAGACAAGCGGTCGAGAATATCAAACCATTTCTTCAACTCCAACTCTCTGCAGGCAAAACCTTTACTTCTCAGGGCGCGGGCCACGCCTCCTGTACCCGAGAATACATCAATGAACCACTGTCCCCGACTCACATCTAATCGCATCGCGTTACCACCTTGCCCCGCAGGATAATTTCCTCGAGATGTGATTCGCATGCCCGAAAGTGCTGTAGGAGGCTTGACGGGAACCGTAGCTCGCTGTGTCGAAGTCGGGCATGTTTTTCGTACCTCATCACGCTGCTGTCGGCCTTCCATCCTCCCCGTTGTTTCACTTCCGCAAGGCTTCTCCATCTGTTCTATCTGTCGATCGAGGCACCTGAATGCCTGGTTTGGTACGGGGCCACCGTCACGTTCAGCGCCTTGGCACACTGATTGAACATCTTCAGGTACTCCCAGTATCCGAACCCCCAGACCGCCTGTCGCCTGCTCTGACTTGCCAAGATATGCAGGAGTGGACCAATAAGCTGTAGCCACGGACTGTCGAGCATCATCGAGTGATCGAATTCCCCGACCTTGTCCGGCACTCCTCTCTCGGCCGGACGCACCAGCAGGCTCCGGTGTCCGTGGGCGGACTTGGGCGCCAGGAAACTCTCTGGCCCCAAAGCGAGGATGCTGCTGGGCCTCAGGTAGGTACTCACTGAGAGCAAGACAAACACCGCCATCTTGGCCTCTCCCCGCTTCGCCATTTCGTTGGCGATTCCCGCCCACAGGCAGAGCGGCTCTGGGCGCCTTGACCTCCCTGGCGCGAGCCGCCGCCAGCCCTTCAGCGCTCGCCAGGCCCTGGGGGTCCGGCGGTCGCCTAGCCGCCCGAACCGCGGCTCGGCATGCATCAGGGCGGCCATCAGCTTGGCCCCTCGGCGGGCCTGCTCGCCCAAGAAGAAGTCTCTCTCGAACAGACGCACCAGTGACTCGTCGACCTCCTCGTCGCTGAACCTTTTCACGTTGTCGATGCGAGAGTGACTCTTCCATCGCTCCAGCTCGGCCTGATACTGCCGTCGGGTCTGCTCCTGAGACGCTTTCTGCTCGAGCAGGCTGCTGCCCGTGTTCAGCAGCTCGCAGGCCTCCGCCACATAGTTCGTCACCCGCCGCTTGCGCCGCCGACGAAGCACCCGCTCTCGCCCTACGACGGGCGACTCCCCGCCTTCGGACGTCGTCCCAGTGCTGCTCGAGACGCTCGGCTGAGCACCGTCCTGCTGCCACGCTGCGGCGCGTCGGGTGCCGGAGGGAGCCTCGGCCTCCTGGGTCAGCTCCTCCAGGCTGGGCAGCCGCGAACCTCGAGGGGCCTCCCAGCCCTTGGGTGGCCCCGCCGGCGGCAACAGCCTGGCTCGTCTTGCCTGCGGCAAGGCCTCGGCCTCCTGCAAAGCGGCTAGCTCCCGCTTGCGACGACCCGCGCTCGCCGTCTTGGCGCGGTCGGGGTCTGCGGGGGGTGCCAGCGTCCGCCTCCTCATCTGGCTCTAGGCCAGACGGCCCGGCGCCGCGACATGAGTTCTCTGAACCGTGGGCAGGATTCGAGAAAAGCGGACTGGCGCGATTGAAGCCACAGGGAGCCGAGGCCCCGCTGGTTTGAGCCAAGACGCCTACGCGGCCCGATGTCGGCTGCCGACCAGTCTGCAGCGAGAGAGAAGCGGAGTCCACAGCCTGTTCTGAAGCGGGCCTCTCTCTGAGGACCCGCGCTCCATCAACCTTTAAAGCGCCCCCCCCCCGGTGGTCTGCAATCTGCCCCCTTAGAAGGGTCATAAATTCGTGAAGGACCATCAGCGCTGTTAAGCTCCGAGGGAATCCACCGAACTACGGCACTGATGTTCTTTGCGAGGCAGTAACTACAAAAACGACGCACTTGATTCAGCAGGAGGTAGTCTCTGGCACGACACCTGTCGAAAGCGAGGCACACAGACATGTTATCCACAAGCAATAGCTGTCGAAGATTGCGCCCGAACGTGAGGGCCAGTCTGCGCAGATTCATGACTAAGGCACGAGCCTCCAGGTGCACGATCCCCTGTTTCCAACGCCAGGGACCCCACCAGGTCGGGCTCCAAAGCTCGGGCACGAGGCCCCCCCGAGGGACCTCCAAAAACTCGGGGTCCAGGTCCCGGGCGCCGGGGGGCAGCGCCCGCTCTCAAACCTACGGCCCCTCCTTTGCCTAAAACACCCTCGGCGCGATCTAAGAGGGAGGCGGGGGCAGTCGAGGCGAAATCCTCTCCCAAAGCGGAGGCTCGGGCGTTCGCCGCCTCTGGAACGAGAAACCTATCTCTCTCCCGACGACGGCCAGTCTCCTTGACCAACTCGATAGGCCACCAGGCTTCTGTGGCTCCGTAGCCGTACTCAGAGGCGTCCGAGGCGACCGCAAGTCGGTTCCAGGGACGGGCCCAGTCGCTACAGAGAAAAACGATACGGCCAGAAAAAACGCGGAGCTCCTCAATCACTGTGGGCCACAATGGTTTCGGCTGGAGGTAGTTTTTCTGAACAAAGGCGTAGCATGCATGAAAACAAGATAGCGCTGCTCGCCGGGACATCGCCAGGAAGGTAAGGTGCCCTAACAGCACCTCGAGCGCGCTGCCTGCGCAGCGCCCCCGCTGCA